CCATGGCCTTCTCAATTACTTACTGTGCGTCGGAGAGCTCGACAGTGACTAAGGATGACAGAAGAAGAATTGATGTCTTTGAATTATGGTGCTAGAGAAGAGTATTGAACATATCATGGACTTCCAAGAGAACAAACAGGCCTTTCCTGGAGAGGATGAAACTAGGCTGCTCCTTGGAAGCAAGGATTTTGAAACTCTGTTTTACATACTTTGGGCATGTTGCCTTGGAGGAAGAGATCATGCTTAGAAAGGTGGACCGTTCTAAGGAAAAGAAGACCCTGGAGGAGATAGGCTGAAGCAGTGACTGTGGCAATGGGAGCAGGTGTGTCAGAGATGGTGAGATTGTCTCAGGATGACACAGGGTTTAGAAGTATTGTTCATAGGGTTGCTATGACTCGTGGTTGACTTGGTAGCACGTAACAACAAGTCAGAACTGATACATAGCTAACCCTCCACTGGGTTTTTAGAGGCTGTTAATCTGGATATGATTCCTTGTCTGTCTCCAGTGGAGCAGCTGATGGATTCTACCTGCGTGCCTTTGGGCTGGCAGTCACATTCTTTACCACTAGATCACCTGTGCGCCCTTTATGCCTTCCTAGAAACAGTTAATTTCGAGAACTAATGAGGCTTAGCTCTGCCTGGGATCTCCCATGCGATTAACTGCTTCTGACAGTTCACTGGAGGGTCAGCAATAGGTTGGTTACAACTGACAGAACACAACAGTGAGGCGTATGAGCATTCTCTATCCACACTACCCTGAGACCAAAAGAATTTCACGGTGTCTAACTACCATTGCCAACCTCTAAAATAGATCATAATAGAGGGTTCTGGACAGAGTGAGAGAAGAATGTGGCACAAAATGAAAGAAAAAATCATAAAAATGTAGAGGCTTGGTCTAATAAAACTGGTGTAACCCCCAGACTATGGCCTTGTACCCTTTAAGCCGGAGACTAAAGTTACCCTTCAGTCAAATAACAGACATCCTTACAAAGTGAAAAATAATCCTGGGGAGGGACTTAACTTCCTAGAACAGAAGATACAAAGTAAAAGAGCAGCATCTGCTCAGGAATAAAGCTCTGCAGGTGGGAATGTTTAGGACAGAAGGATGAATGGAGGTCAGAATCACGGAGGGGAGGGAGAAGAGTGTTATTACATTGTGGAGGTTGTAATCAATGTCTTAAAAGGAAAGATGTGGGAATGATTGAAAGGAAGCCAGTTTTCTCAGTAAACATCCAAAGAACAGTGAAAATGTTAAAAAGGAACCGAAAAACTCTCATCCATTTGTAGTATTACTGCATTGAAACAGATGAAGGCGAGAACCGTTTAAAAGGGATATATGATTAGGTATTATTATCATGACAGGAGTCCAGAATGAAGGCTGCATCATGGAGTGGACTTTTGGGGGGGGGAGAGATTATATAACAATGAAAGAGTTTTTGTTTTACTTTTCAAAGAGAAGAACAAACTGGGGGGGGGGCAGGGAGGAAAGTGCAACAATGAATGAATGGAAATCCAAAATCTCTGTAAACTTATATTAAAATAATAATAAAAAATTAGAAGGTACTGTTTCCATATTATTTGTTTTATGTCTAATGTCATGATGTTAGAGTCTATTAGGTATTGATCTCTGTGAAATTCAGAGCTGTTCTTTATTATGTAGGATTAGCCTCTGTCTTGCATACTAAACTTCCATAAACACTAGTAACATTACCTCAACTAGAGTGTTTACCAAAAGACATTTGGGAATTTCCATAGTACTACCTAGATACTGTTGTGGCCTGATGAGAATGACAAACTAAAGGCAAAAAAAAAAAAGGAATCAAGACAGATCAGTATTCACACAATGGAATATTTCTAACTAGGACAAAAAATGATATTAGTTACTACTTTTTATTAGAATGTCAAGTGGAAAACTTCCAGGATTTGAACTATTTATATCAAAGTAAGGTGGAGAGATTTTTGTTTTTAAATATTTGAAGTGTTTGGTAGCCAAGAACTGAGTCAGTAAAAGGCATATAACACGATGTTTGATTAATATCACACTCTCTAAAACTTGGGGAGACACTTAACTTTCTGAGCCCAATACGTATGCCACAGTTCTAGTTTTTATGGATCTTTTTCTGAGTGAGAATAACATGGGCAAGTTCCGATGTTTCACTTGAATCTTGAAATGACCCAGGGCTACGATCATGAGGAAATCCACTTCAGTTTTCCTTCTCTTTCAGTCCTTGCTCTTTTACCGCAGGCTCTGTCTTTGCCAATACAGCCTGGTGCTTAAGTGACTTAGTTGGTAGATTTTGGTAACAATTCATGTGTTTATGTGGATATGCCTCTATGAGTGTTTAAAATCAGGGACACTTGCTCTGTGTAAATGAAACCAAATAAAAGTAGAGCCTTTAAGTCTTCACTTGAGTCTGAAATCCATGTTAGCGTTTTTAAAGCTGCCTTTCCAAATAGAGGTCTCTTAAACCTGTATGCTAACTACGACATTTACCCTGAGGATGGCATCCCTTTTTGATGAGGTCTGCCAGGTGCAGGATATCATAATCTGTTCCCAAAGAGTCAAGCAGAGGCAGAATGTGATATTTTGCTGGAGGGTCTTCGTGTACAACATTATCGCTACATCTTTACACGGGGCCCTAGAAGTTGACCCAATTTAGGAAGCACTTTTACTAATAGGTTAACAGAGAAACCTGTCTTGTTGGTGTCCTGCAGTCTCTCTGAAATGAACAGAATAACATGTATCTCAGATCAGTCATGAAATCCCATTTATGTGTTGTTCACCTGCCAAATTACCTATTTCAAATATCTTTAAATCTTCTGATGGTGTTCCAGCAAGTTATGAATTTTATAACCTTTAGTTGCCTCTCAAGTCGTTCCCCAGGCCAAGTCTGGTGAAGAGACATTTATAAACAGTTATGATGGATTATTTCCTGGGTCCAGACAATCTCTGTCCCTAAAGTTCATTTGCTCTTATCTAATATAGATTCAGATGTTGCATGACACTCTCATACTTTTAGTTAGCATTGGGACAGCAGCAAGTTCTAGATTACTTAAACCTTTATTTTGACTGGTGCTGTTGAGAAGTGTTAACGTTTTAAATGGTAACTAATTCTCTCTGCTCAGGTTTTTCATGTGTAATAAAACATTGAGCTCTGGTGGCCTACCAGTAAGGAGCTATGCTGGCAGCCCGAAGGCTTGTGGTTCAAGTCTACCAGCTGCTCTGTGGAAGAAAGATGGGTAGGCTCCTCTCATGATTTGCTGCTTCTGCAAACCCACTGGAGGGTCGGTTATGAATCAAGTTTCAATTCACAGTATATAACAACAACCAGTAGTATGTTGGTTCTGATTCATAGGTTACTTCCTCAAGTTTTCAAGGCTGTAAATCTTAATGGGAGGAGACTTGGCCAGTTGACTAGTAACACAACATGTATGCATCATGAACTTACAAAAAGCTCGTTCTCAAGGAGTTGGAACCAACTCAGTTGAGGCTCCAGTGAATCTCATTTTACAGTCTGGAAGGCTGTAAATTATGTTGCAGGAGATTGGCCATCTTTTGAGTATTTTCTGATAGGTGTGGGGGAAAGACACTTAAAACTATAGAATCCATTATCTTTGATGAAAATATGTATTCATAAATATGAGGTTGTTAAGAATTACAGCTTGTTGGGCTCTACTGTCAACACTGTTGGCACCAGCAGTCAGGAAATCTAAATACAAAATGCATTAGGTAAATCTGCGTCAGAGTACTGAGAAGCAGTGATGTCAGGCTAGAGACTAAGGTGCACCTGATCCAGTCTATGGTTTTCACAGTTATTTGGTATGCATCAGAGAGCTGGATAATAACTAAGGAGGATTAGAAGAAAAAATGATGCCTTTGAGTTATGATGCTAGAGAAGAGTCTTGAACATACCATAAACAGCCAAGAAAACAAATAACTGTCTTGGAGAAGATGAAAGCAAGTTTCTCCTTGGAGGCTAGGATTTTAAAGCTCCTTCTCACATATTTTGGGCATGTGGCCAGGAGGGACTGGTCCTTGGAGAAGGACATCATGCTCAGAAGTGCAGCAGAGGAAGACCCCGGATAAGATGGATTGATAAAGTAACTGGGGCAATTGGGGTAGATGTGTTGGAGTCAGAGAGATTGGCTCAGGACAGGGAAGGCTTCATTACTGCTGTATATAGGGTCTCTGAATTGCAGGAAACTCAGTGGAACATAACAACAACAACAACAACAGCAGCATACTTTATTTGTGTTTTAGTTTCTATGAAACAAAAGTGTGCAAATTAGCTTCCGGTACAGCTGTTTAAAATTTTAAAAAAGACTACATGCATATATGCGTGTCTGTTTGTATAAAGAGAGAGGGAAAAATTTGTGAATCTAAAGATCCTATAGGGAAAAAAACCCCAATAGAGATAAGGGATGGAGGACAGTTTCAATTCCAATAATATATAGTGATGTAAATGCCAATTATTAGCTTGCTGTGAATATAGAGATATTTTTCTGTTAGGTACTTGGCTCAGTTACCTTGTGCAGCTAGATACACAAACTCCACAGATGGCCTACACGTTTGATTCTAGAGTGTGGCTCCAGGAGGACAAGTTCTTACCCGAGGCCTCTGGAGGTTCCTGTGTAATTGCTATCCCTGTGCTTTTGTCTCATTGCTTGTTCTGGTCTTATAGAACTCAGAAGTGTAACATAGCAAAAGAATCACCCTGTTTCCAATCATAGTTATATGGACTGGGTTTAGGATTGCAGCACTATCTTAGGGGACACAGTTGAATCCCTAACAGTATTGTATCTGCTAAAATGATCATGCTATTTTCCTTCGTGTCACAGAAGCTCTTTTCTCTCTTTCCTTTAGGCAGTTATACATGTGCATCATTTTAAAACAATTAATGCTCCTTAAGTCACAAATTATTGATTTTCTGTTCAGAGTGTATATAGAATTGCTGCTCTACTTAGATTCTAAAATGAGACTTTTTAATTGTGTTTTCCAGGAAGATATGAATTTAAATGAAGACAAAAAGGCACCATTGCGGGAAAAGGACTTCAGTATCAAAAAAGAAATGGTGATGCAGTACATTAATACTGCTTCCAAGACAGTAAGTAAAGCTGTCAAGTTGAAAAATACTGCTGAGCCGTGCTGTAGGATAGAAGATGCTGTCTTTGCTTAATGAAGTGCTTGAGTTTGTGGGTAGCCGTATCAGAAGGTTTTTGAATGTTTGTAGAACTAAAGGCATGAGTAGTATAGAAAGCACATTTAATTTTAAAATATTTTCCATCTTCATATTTTTAAAAGTGGTTTTTTGATTTCTTTTTTTTTTTTTCCCTAAGTCAGTCGCTTTGCTAAGGAATACAATGGTTGATCTGCTCATAGACCCAGGCACCTTTCCTTATTTGTGAATGAAAATGTTTATTGGCTTCTTATGCCATTTTTAAATAGAAATACTATTTGTGGCATAGAAAATTGAGAATGTGGCTTTATTTTAACCACCTTAATCAAAACATATAGTTGTGGCTAAAATCATATATTTAGTGTGAATTTCTCTGTGGATGAAATTATCTTGTAACACATTATAAAGATTTAAATTGAAAAGAGCATTGAAGCTCCACATGGCTGTCAGTTTTCCAGGGGAACATGAAGTACGTGGGTGGAAGTAATGGCTCTATGTCTAGGAAACCATTAATGACACAGAATCAATTGTGTTTGTTCCAAGGGACAACAAATGAGCTCTGCTAGCCATTCAAAAAGGGAGCTCTTGTGGCTTAGTGGTAAGGAATTGTGAATCCCCAGATCATCCGCAGGAGAAAGATTTACTGCCTGTTAAAACCTCTGGAATGTCAGCTGTGAGTTGGTCCCGACTCTACAGTACATAACGATGAGAAGTCATTAAAAAGGGAGCTGTGGTGGCTTAGTGTTAAGAGGTTGAGTCGCCAGCCTAAAGGCACAGACGCATTCTCCTCCAGTGCAATTTACTGCATCTGAAAACCCGCCAGTTAGTTATGACCACAGTCATAAAGAGGACAAAGTACATAACACCACAGTACATAACAACAGTAATAATAAACCTTATAAATAATTAGATTAGATGGAGATGATAAAATGGAAGCTAATGAGGAAGAGATTAGTAGAAAGACAATATAAAATGACTTTGGTTGAATTTAAAATACAATAGGATTAGAGAAAACTAGCATAGCACGCTGAAGTTTTCATTGGATACTTTAACCTAAGGCCAGGTTACAAGAATATAAGTTATTTATTCTTTAACTCTATTTATCTACTGGAACACTACGTGACTGTAAGGTATTTTTTTTGGAAGAAAAATTTTATCAAGTGATATTTAATTTTTAAACATGTCTCATGTTTTGGCAGCTCAAGCTCCAGTTTTGAAATCTTTGTAGCATCAGTATTTTTTCAACCTGGCTCTTTATCCAGTTGAACTCAGTATCCTGCTATTGTAATACCAATCCTTCTTGTCTTCTAATGATACTCGTTGTTGTTGTTGTTGTTATGTGCCGTTGAGTCACCTGTGACACATAGTGACCCTATTATACCATATCTCTGAACCCAGCTTAGGACGAAGGATTGGCCATCCACTTCCCAAATATAATAGGCTTTGAAAACCCTATGTACAATGATACTTAACTATCACAAATTCTTATAGGGATTTAGGGGTGAGAGTTTGTGTGGATGGGATTTGCTTCTTTGTCCTCTTTATGACTGTAGGCATTTTATTTTATAATTTTCTCATAAGATGGGAAACATACTTAACATTTTATGCTCATCACCAGAATGAAATAAAACTGTGATTTTTACATTTATAACGTAATATTTTGTTAACTGGTGCCCCTTGTAGCAATCGTGTTGGTAGGAATTGCTTTAAATATTATTTCCTTATTAATTTTTTTATGATCTCTTGTTGGACTCATTACTTAAAAGTTTAAAAAATATTATTTGTGCGACCATATTTCTGAGACATTGAATTGTTCACATGAACATTTTCATAATTATCTGTGCTAGGCACTAATGTAGACACTAGAGAATATGATGCTCATGGATGTAAAACTGTGTCCTGTGTGGAACGACATTCTAGTGGGGAAGACTGATGGAAACACAAACACATACACAATAGAAGTAAGCAGAGTGAGTGAAGATTATAGAGCTGTGTTCTTTAAGGTAATTATGAATGGACCAACCTGTTAGGAAGTTTTCAATCCAACAAGCATGAGTTCACTTAATAGGATTACAAGAGATATTGTGTAGTTAGAACTGGTTTAGGTATCTGTTTTAGTATTAGCATTTTAACTTCTTAAATTTAAGATAATAAACAGACTATTTAATAGAAGAACAAAGCCATTTTGAACTTCATTATAGTGGGTCTATTTCAGTTTGCTTATAATGATTTTAAACTTTAATCCTTTAATCATGTTGGACTGAGGTTGGAATTTATTTCCTGGACTTAGGTAATTTAATTATAAGGATTGAAATAGATTAGTTATCTAAAGCATGATTACAGCATTGACTTATTTAATTAGTGGGTAGAGGATCATGGCTTTTCCTAGGAGAGTTCCGAATTGTTTGACAGGTAGTTAAAAGTGTAGGATGTTCAAGCTGACCAGTCATTTATTTTTGCTTTGGAAGTAGAAACGTATTTTATTAATTCCAGGTTAGAGATGTTGTCATGTCACTTTATGTTGATAAAGGAGCTTCTGAAAAAGTTACCTGAGAAAAACAAAATAGAAATTGATAGTCTGTTCTAGAGAGGGTATGGAAGAGTCTTCTGATTTCAGTTTCAAAATTTGCTTTTAAATTCTCTTTGTTTGATAATTTATTGCTGTTATTTCATATTTTTGCTTGGTTTTATGAGGGGCTAGTCGTCCAGAAGGGACAACATACTTGTAAAAGTTGAGGGTCAGAGTAAGAGAGGAAGACCCTCAATGAAATGGATTGACACAGTGACTGTAACAGTGTGTGCAAGTGTATAGTTTGTAAAGAATGACACAGGAAGAGAATGGTACTCAACTCATTGGCACGTACCACCACCACCACCACCGTTAATGATATGAAAACGCTATGGAAATGTTAACCCACAACCTAGTCCTATAATGGATAACACCTCACGTAAAGTGGGCATTCACTTCCAGTTGTGATACATATGCCACTGACTTGGAGGCTGTGTTACGTGCTGTCGAGTTGCCTGAGACCCATAGCAATCCTATGTACAGCAGCTCTGAACCTTGCTCTGTCCTGAGCCAGTCTCATTAATTCTGACACACCAACCCCCATTGCCCCAGTGACTGTATCAATCCATCTCATCCAGGATCTTCCTCTGCTGCGCTGTCCCTCTACCTTTCCGAGCATGATGTCCTTTCCCAAGGAATGGGCTCTCTTGGCCATGTGCCCAAAGTATGTGAGACAGAGCTTCAAAATTCTAGCCTCCAAGGAGAAACTTGGCTTCACTCTCTTTAGGAAAGACCTATTTGTTTTCTTGGCAGTCCATGGCATGTTCAAGGCTCTTCTCCAGCACCACAGCTTGAAGGCATTGATTCTTCTTCTGTCATCCTTAGTCATTGTTCAACTATCTGAAGCATAGCAAGTAATTGTGAAGACTATGGATAGGAGGAGGAAATTGGGAGCTTGTATAAGCTTTCAAATTCAAGGTGTTATCTGCCTTTTTATTGTGGTGTTGCTGAAATGTATTGACTCATAGATTGTCAAAAGAACAAACAGATTTTTCTTGGAGGAATTACAATCAGGGTGCTCCTTAGAGGCCAGGATGGGGAAACTTTGATTCATATACATTGGACCAGTCCTTGGTAAAAGACATCATACTGAGAAAAGTAGACTATCAGTGAAACAGTCAGATGTCAACAAGATGGATTTACTCAAAGATTGCATCAGTGGGCTTGAGAATGGCAGAGATGCTCAAGGTGAAACAGGATAAGGCAGGGTTCAGATCTATTAATCATAGGCTCACTGTGAGTAGTAGTTAACTCAGTGGCACTGAATGACATTAGTATTATAAGAACATTTGACTAAAGGCTAATGCATCCCAAAAGTACTTTTCAGTTGTTTTTGTTAGGTGCTGTTGAGTCAAGTACAACTCATAGTGACCCTATGAACAAAAGGTCTGAACCCTTTTTATCCTGCACCATCCTGACACTTCCTGACTCCCAGGAGCCCATTGCAGTAGTCACCGTATCAATCCACCTAGTTGAGGGTCTTCTTCTCCTTTGCTGACCCTCCACCCTTCCCAGTATCATGTTCTTCAAGAAATAGTACCTCCTAGCAATATGGCTAAAGTATATGTGAAGTGAAGTCTCATCATTCTTGCCTCCAAAGAGCGCCCCAGCTGCACCCTCTCTAAAGCATAGCTGTTTGTTCTCTTGGCCGTCCATAGGATGTTCAGTACTCTTCTCCAGCACCACAGCTCAAAGGTGTCAATTCTTTCCGGTCATCCTTATTCATTCTTCGGCTCTCAGATGCATAGCAAGTAGTCAGAAAGTCTATGGCCTGAATCAAACGCACCTTAGTCTTCAAACTGACATCGCTACTCCTCAATAATTTATAAAGGTCCCTAATTGCAGATTTTCCCTGTGCAATGTGTCTCCTTATTTCCTGACTGCTGGTACCAAGGATGTTTGTTGTGGATCCATGCAAGATGACACTGTTGACAGTTATGATCCATCATGACACTTCCTATTGGTCCAGTGGTTGGAATTTTTGTTTTCCTGACACTGAGATGCAATCCATGCCAAGGGCTGCATTTTTTTATCTTCTGTGACAAGTGCTTCAAGTCCTCCCCACTTTCAGCAAGCAGTAGAGATAAAAAAATTTTTTTAAAAAATATTTTTTTATCCACATTGTGTTTCATAAGTTTTGAAACCAAATTTTAAAGAGATCTCTAGTTTTTTAGTCTCTAATATACTGAATTAATCAAAAGGTGGCTTTTCTCTAGTGGTTTGGATCTATCAACAGCTTTAATGGAGAAAGGTAGGCAATCTCCTCCCATTAAAATTTATAAGTTTGAAACCTGAGGAAGGGTTGCTTTGAGTTGGAATCCATTTGATGACAATGAATTTAATGGTTTAGCAAAAAAAA